TACCACCAGTCACCAAGAAAGAATGGCTGAAAGCAACAAAGACGCGAGGGAGTTGCTGGGAAATTAATAGGCAGCTATCTCTAGACACCAGGTGCTGAATGAGTCAGTGTTTCCTACTGAACAGATGCGGAGACCTACAAAGTCTCTCCCTATCTTTTCTACAATCTTTAAAGGATGGAGGTGTAGTCTCTGCCAGATTCTGTTAGGAGGTACCCCCCACTCCCCAACTGCTCCTCAGACTCAGAGATGCCACAACCATAAACTCCTGGCAATCAGACTCCATTCTGTCCAATTCTCCAGATTCCAAGGGGAGAGTTACAATAAACCTGAGGTAAAACAGCACTGGATTGTAGACAACATTTAAGAGTTTTCACAAAGTAACACATTAAAAAAAATCTTAAGGCAAACGATGGTTCTCACACTGCCTTTTAAACGATTGACTTGGTGCAGGCTTTCCTCTATCAAAAGATAAAGGCAACTAAGGGGTAGAACATCTGCACTGGGTAATTCAAACACCTGAGTAGTCTCCTCAAAGTCAACAAGCTTTGGTTTTACTGGAACTGGCGTACAGCCCAAATATTGAAGAATCATGCCCTATGAAGTTGTTTGGCACGGTTCTTAAGCCCTTTTTATTCCCATTTTAATCTCTCCCTTGTTTGGCAAATTCTCTCACATAGTTCAATGAGCAAATCCCGTGATCTGATGAACATCGGAACAATTTATTTATGTAAAGATGTAAGCAAAAACAAAGACGTATTGGCAAATATGTCCTCATGCACCATGTTGGTCTGACCAGGAAGAAACTCATTACTGTCAAAATTGGGGTGAGCCTTTATACAGCCCAGACTCATCGCAGTTATTTTTTTATGGCTGCAGCTGACCCAGGTCAGTTGTTGGCCATCAGACAGATGGCAATAGGATCCCAGCTGTACAGTACCTGGAGCACTTCTGAATCATTTATCAGTTTTAATACAGTTTTTGGGACAGAGGGAAGCGCTATCCCACATTTATAAATGGGTTACCAGGGCAAAGCAAAAAATTAATCACCTCCCTCAAGCTAGGGATTTTGTTCTAAAATCTGAGGGTTATTTATTTGCATAGGGCCTAAAATGCATTGGGCACATAAAGATTACAAACAGCACTCTGTCTTGGCAGCTTATAGCCTAGAGAAGGAAAGAAGCAAAATCAGAGAGGCAAAAATATTGTAGAATCACTTGAACAGGATGGCACAACATAATATAAACATAATATAAACCACAGCAAATAAATATTAAGTTGTTTCTCAAGAAGATCAGCTTGTTTATTTATATGTTCATCTACTATTTCTCACCATAACAAGTATCCCCAAAGTGGAGATGGGAAATGCAGAGAAATAAAATCCTAAAATAATCCAAGTCTTAAAAATTAGGAGATGTAAAACCATCAATTACATATTAAATGCCATCAGCATTGAACCAGAATATCACTGGCTTCTCCAGCACCACTGGGGGTTGTCTTATTGTTTTTGGAAGGGATCCAAAAACAAGGATGTTGCCAAATTGAGGGCTTTTTCCTCATCTTCTTACTATCAGAATCTCTTTTGGAGATAGGATTTGGACCTTTGGGTAGCCTCAGATTTGGACCTTTGGGTAGCCTCAGCCTCCAGCCAACCATGTCCTACTCTTGATTATCCCTTGTGTCTGTCTTCATAGTGGCCACAATTGCCTTTTTCTGATGTTGTGAGGTCTTTCTTATGTCAAAAAAAGAAGATTCACTTGCAAGATTAAGTTCCTTTTGTAGAGTTTGTTACCAAATAGTACAGAATACATTAGTTTGAAGCCCAGCCACCAATCTTGAGTGGAGACATTAGTTGTTTTCTCTCTCCCTCCTCTCTTTCGCTCTCACAAACATATACTCTACACATCTCCCATCTATTTTGTTACTTCTAAGAAATGGGATGAAAAGCTATTATGTGCATTCTTTCACCTCACCAGCAAGGAATAAGCCAACCATCTTCTTTTTGCATGATTTTTTTTTACCAACAGGCTATAATAACTTGACAGGCAGGATGACATGAGATTAAACTATAAAGAAGTTGGGTTGCCTTGAGTTTTCCAGGCTATATGGCTATGTTCCAGAAGCATTCCCTCCTGATGTTTCATCCACATCCATGGCAGGCATCCTCCAAGGTTGGGAGATCCATTGGAACCTAAGTAGGGTTTATATATCTGTGGAATGTCCAGGGTGGGAGAAAGAACTCTTGTCTGTTTGAGGCAAGTGTGAATGTTGCAATTGGCCAGTTTGGTTAGCAATTAATAACCTTGCAGCTTCAAAGCCTGACAGCTTCCTGCCTGGGGGAATCCTTTGCAAAGGAGTTCCTTTGTAGAGATAAGGGATGTATCCAAACTCTACAATTATAGCACTGTGGTACTACTCTAACAGTCATGAGGTAAGGAGCCCAGGGATTTGTAGTTTGGTGAGGTACCAGGCATGTAGAACTATCTGCCAATGGAGCTCTAGTCCACTTCCCAAAAGAGTTTTCTAGTGAAGAATCCTAAGGACCTCATGAAACTGCAGATCCCAGTGTTCTGTAGGAGGGAGTCATGGCAGTTAAATTGATATGAAATTGCTATGGTTGTGGTTGAGGATTGCTTATATGCTTGCATAAATTTATATAAGAAGAGTTACAGAGCAGTTCTTTTTATTTCTGCTCAGTAATAAGTCCTATTGTGTTCAGTGGGCATATTCCTAAGTATGCATGGGACTGTAGCTTTAAAGGAGTAGTATAGCATTGTTGGACTAGAAGATCTGGCTTCAAGTCTTCATTCAGTCACTGTGTCCACTGGGAAGCCTTGAGGAGGAAATTCTCTTTCAAGCTGAAACAAGTTCTTGGGATTAGTGTGTGGATAAATAATACTTCTTAGAGAAAGTGTAATCTAATAATAAGATAAACCAATTGAAAATCTAGAAACAAAAGCTGCATTAATTACTAAACAATTATTAGTCCAAGCACATGAAAACCAAAAGCAGGGACACGTACAAACTTATCTTGGCAAGTTATAGGTTGAATGAAGGGATGAGCATGAGCCCTCATTTGCTTTCCCATTCCCTGGCACATGGTTAGAATCAGCCAGGTCTTGTATTGCCTAATGAGAGGAAATGGCATTTCCCCAGAAACGTCATATTGTGGTTTGAGTGCTGGCAACATGTGATATCTCTGTGACAGAAGGGAGTGAAGGCATAAAGCTTGTCTACAATAAAAGGGCAACAAGTGTGCATTTATTTGTGCAAAAATACAATGATTTGTGGAGGCCTTGCAAAACTTTGCGTCCCCGTCCTACTCAACAGCTTTTAATATTTGAGCAATTATAGTGGAGGTTAATCGAGTGTTTTTATCCAAGTTCCACATTGCCATGCAGACAAACAGCATGTCACTGCAGAGACAGAATACTGTGTGGTGAATGAACAAATGGCTTGCACAAATGCACACTGCAACTGTCTCTAACCCATTGGAATCAATAGAGCTGACAACTCATCATCCAAGACGGGTACAAATGGAAGAGAACAAAACAGGGTGGTGGTGGGTGAGGAGGAGGGGGAGTTAACCAAGGACAGATTTTTGAGAGCTAATAAAGGAACGGGAAGTTGAAAGACAGAAAGTGAAGTTGTGTTCTGTTTCTGGGGAAATGCACAGCTCATTTCTTAAAGTAGTAGTGCTAAAAAAAAAAAGACAAAAGTGCCAGAAATGTCTACTTCTTTGTCTCTTTTCAAATATGCCAGATTGCTTTAGCTGAATATATTTCATCCCTGTCTTTTGCAGTTCTCCAGCTTTGTTACATCCAGGCAGGACAACTTTTCCAATCTTCAATTTAATTTCAAACTTATTTCAGACTGCTCTTAGGTCATGGTCCATAGCAATTTTTCTTAGTGGCATCCACTGTCAACTGCAGAAGGGCTAAAACCCATTGCCAGAACCAATGTTTTGCATACAGAAGATTTCAGGTTGCACCCTTGTTATCTCCAGAGAGGTGGCTCTACCAGCAGACAGTTGAAGATCACTGCCACAGACTGCAGATGCCAGGGGCTGTTTCCTTCCCCAATACAGAGGTTCTTATTTTATTTTATTTATTTCCTGCCTTTTCCCTAACACAGTATTCAAGGAGACTTATAACAAATTAGAACAAAGTGCAATTAGAACATTGTATAACAAAGTACTTTTCCCCCCAACTTATTCAACCTGAAAACATGGACAAGATCTTAGGAGGGATGAAAGCAACCACTTGTTCTCAGGAGCCTTGCCCATCCTGGTTAATTAAATTGGCAGGGGGGAGGGACTGGGAGAGTGGGTGAAGGTGCTGGTTAATGTCCCCTTGGCTCAAGGCATAATGCCAAGCATATTCAAGGAGGAAGTAGTAAAACCACTATTAAAGAAACTAGCACTGGATCCACTCAATTGAACAACTTTAGGCCAGTGTCAAATCTCCCCTTTCTGGGCAAGGTTCTAGAGAAGGTGGTGGCCTCTCAACTCCAAAGTTTCTTGGAGGAAACCGATTATATGGATCCATTCCAATCTGGTTTCAGTTCTGGCTATGGAACTGAGATGGCATTGGTTGCCTTAGTGAATGATCTACAAAGAGAGCTAGACAGGAGGAGTGTGTCCCTGCTAGTCTCCTGGACCTCTCAGTGGCATTTGATACCATCAACCATGTTATCCTTCTTGGCCAGCTCTCTGGGATTGGACTAGGGGTACTATATTCCATGGCACCTGTCCTTTCTGACGAGTTGGACCCAGATGGTGGTGCTGAGGGACTCCTGTTCGACCCCTGGCCTGTGGGGTCCCTCAGGATTCAATTCTGTCCCCCATGCTTTTTAACATTTACATGAAACCACTTGTAACGAATTAGGAGAGAAGAGGGACGATTTATTATTTATTACTCTTAATGGTGCCACCAATGTGTAATGTGAGGTATTATTGGGAGATATGGCACACTGGACGCAGAATTAATGGAGATGAGGCAGTCTTCAAACAAAAGAGAACAAGTTTATTTTGAACAAAGCGTATGGTTGCAGGCTGTTGATAAACTTGGAAATACTTTGAGAACTTTACATGTAACTTGGTTGCAATACAGTTCACACTTCTGGATGTTACAACTTGTAATTGACTTTTACTGTGGTGAAGCACTTTCTTAAACAATGTTTCCTGAGGTGAATAGCCTTCCTGTTTGATCCTTCCGTGATCAAACCCCAGATCTCTAGTTCATTTCTAACTAGTGATCTAAACAAGCTTCTCTTAGTCCTCTCTAACTAATGAAACTAATTAGGTTTCCCCTTCAGCCTTCCTAAACTGAAGAAACCTCTGACTATTCACAAACACTGCTTCTCTACTTCCCACTCTCTCTCTCTCAACTGCTAACTCCGACTCCAAAACCCTAACTCCTCACTCCTCGGAACCTAAACCCTAACTCCTCACTCCTCGGAACCTAAAACCTAACTGAACATAAACTGTCGTTTTTCAAACTCTCCCCTCTAAGCTCCTCCCACTTCTCTCTCTACAGCATCGTCTCCATGGCAACGCACTCCTCTGACTTAGGCCGCTCCAGCATTACTGCAGCCAATCTAAACACCAATACAGTTAAAATCATACAATTTATAATCAACTTCTGTACACCACTGAGAGAGATCATATGGAGTTTTGGGGTTCAGCGTCGGCGGTGAACAGGAGCACCTTCGCACAATTAAAACTTGTGCACCAGTAGCGCCTGTACTTTGAGACACCTGATCTGGCCATGGTCATACATGCCTTAGTCACATCCTGCTTGGACTACTGCAATGCTCTTTACATGGGGCTGCCTGTGAAGATAGTTTGGAAGCTTCAACTAGTCCAGAGATCAGCACCTAGGTTACTAATTGGAGCACCATACAGGGAGCAGACAACTCCCATGTTACGGCAGCTCCCCTGGCTGCTGGTTCACTTCTGGGCTAAATAAGAATTGTCGGTTATTACCTATAAAGCCCTAAATGGTTCGGGCCGAGCCTATCTGGAAAGCCACATCTCCTTATACAAACCTGCCTGGGCTCCTCGATCTACTGAGGAGGTCCTACTCTCGGTCCCACCTCCGCCTCAAGCATGGCTGGTAGGAACGAGAGTGGGGCCCTTCTTGGTGGTCAACCCCAAGGAGATCAAAACAGCCCCCTTCTTATCCACTTAAAAAAGGCCATTTTAAAACATTCTTATGCTCTCAAGCATATAACGAGGAGGAGAAATAGAGCTTGCAACACTGACAAATGATCGGAAAGGAGACAGATTTGGCACTCTATTTTAGCTGGCTTTTAATGGTTGAAATGATGTGCATTTAAGGATAATTATTTAATTTACTTGTTTTAATTCATTGTATAATGTCTTGTAATGTATTGTATACTTTTATATTTTTCTTGTTTTATACCAGCATTGAATGTTTGCCTTGTTATGTTGGTAGCCGCCCTGAGTCCCCTTGGGGAGATAGGGTGGGCTACACACACACACACACACACACACACACACACATATATATATAAACTATCCCCACCCATACACAAAACTATGAGCACAAACGTTTCAAATACGATTAACAATTCTATTAAAAGTTAAAGCTGTTTCCAGCACATTCAAAATTTATTTTAAAAGATACAAGCATCATTAAAGACTCCTTCAGCCATATGAACTCAAGGCCTTTGCCTCGAAGTAGAAAGGGAGTAGAGAAAGGAGCAGCCACTGAGAAAATTATTTTCTTGTGTTTTCCTTAAACCTGGTGCCTATGAGGTAAGTGTGACTGAGAGAAAGTCCTCTCTTGAAAATCTTAAAATTTGGGTTGGCTCATGTTGGGAAATACAGTGTTTCACATAGTTTGTACCAAGCTGTATAAGGTTTTAAGGGTTATGGTCAGTAGTTCCTTCTGAGCTTCTGATCATTTCTTCCTCTTGGGCATAGACTGTATGGCATACATTCCCATGATCCCAATAAATTTGCCTGGGGACTGAGAAGAGTGAAAAATAATGTCTTGTGATCAGTGATAAATTAAGATTCCAGTCCAATTGCTTTAGAACATGCAAGTACCATCTTATGCTTCTTCTCCAGGATCAAAATGTCTTATTCCAGCTCTGCCTAGGACACATCTGGAATTGACTATCTGGAGAGAGCCAGCCAGTTAGTGCTGACAAATACATTTTCCATAAACCATTGCAGACTTATGCAGAAGAAGCTGTCTTGGTGAATTCTGGAACTCTGCAGACAGGCAAAGCATTCAGTTATTGCTTTCAGGTTAATAGTCCAATTTTAAGTACCATTTATTAAGTGCCTCCCTTAGAAAAGCTCTGGATCCAGAATAATAGCACTTAATTTCAGAGGGTTGGACAGAATTACACAGCATAAATGAAACTGAATAGTATTCATGAAAACAGTGTAAATGAAAATGAAAATAGGAGCAATCTTTAATATAAATATCCTAGGCAATTATTTTTTTAAGAAATGACAATGAGACAGACAACTCTCTAATCAAGAATGTGTTCCAGCTAGTCTAACAAAACACCCATGAATCATTAATTTAAAAAGTAACCCTGTCAATTAGGCACACAGCACATCTACATAATCTTATGTTCTTATTACTGCTACACATGTCTTCTCCTCCCTTTCCCTCCTACTGTCATATGCTGCATCCACCTGTTATGTCTTAACTGGTATTTAAATTATGTTCATTTGAAGGAGACACTAGCATTAAAATTTTGTACAGTAGTGCTGTAAATGATGGTACTAATGATGGATTTCAAAGAAACCCATGGGTCTCTAGTGGAGTGCAGGTGTGAGGGCTGGGGCAAGGGCAGCGTTCTGGAGTATAGTCAGAAGATGGGAACTAAGAGCAAGCAATTGGGATCAGATGACAAGCCAGATCACAGGACCAAAGAACAAGCCAGAACGGAGGAGTAAAGCGAGCGTCACAAGACATACTAAGGCTCAGTGACCTTGGGAAATTACTTTTAATGACAAAGCTCATTTTCAGGTTGCATTTTCTTGCCCTGAATCTTCCACCATCTACTTTATGCCTTTACTAGAAACCACCTGGGGTCTCTCAAAGGAAACAAGGAACCTTATCACACACACTTACACCCTGTCTCTGACACACTTTGCCAACTGGGGCCTATGGGTCCTATCACATGAGACAAGGTACCTTTTGTTGGACACCCATAGGCAAATGATTTACTACAAGTAGCCGCCTTGAGTCGCCTTCGGGTTTGAGAAAGGCGGGATAGATAAGCAATGTACCAGTGAAAATGTTACTTTGAAGCTTTATTGAACTTTATAACTCTTGCTCAGGGAATGCAATCCAGGGAAAGCATTGTTTTTCTAGTGTGTCCATTGGCATCAACTTGGGGCGGGGGGGGGGGGCACAGATTGGCAGTGTTGAGCATCATCCAGGAAAGATACAGATTATTTTGCTTTTCCAATGGTGAGGGCATTGATATATCCCCTCACTGTTGATTTCATTAATCAGTTGGGAAGTGGGTGGCAATCATGCATCGATGCATAACAGAGAATCCCTAGACCACAAGGAAATACTCTGTGTCACTGTAAACCTAGAAACTGTTCCTGTAATTGTGGATGAGGAGCAAGACTACCTGTTACAAGAGTGAAGTAGTCAAGATGGCTGGTACAGTGATTCTCAACCTGTGGATCCACAGATATTCTGGCCTTCAACTCCCAGAAATCCTAGCTGGTAAGCTGGCTGGGATTTCTGGGAGTTGTAGGTCAAAACACCCGGAGACTCACAGGTTGAGAACCACTTTTCTAGGACCTATAATCAAAAAAAGTAACTTACCAAATCCTGAGATATGGCCAGTACACTACTTTGAATGTTCATCTTTAACTGATTATCTAAATTAGCTGAAACTGGAAGTTTTTGTGGTATAAATACAATAAATAAGCAAGTAAGTGTGCAATTATCTGATGATTCATAGCATGAAATCAAGTTGAATTTTACAAGGGGCCTTCAGTTTCACACAAAGCCTTGAGAAAATGTTGAAGACCAATAAAGGCATGGTGAACCTCCTAATTGCAGTCATTTGACTACTTCAGCTATGAAGTACAACAGCCTCTGGCCATACAATAAAGTGTGTGACTTCTTGCTCATGGTTTATCACATGTTCATAGGGGAACTGGGTACTAGTAGCCTAGCAATGCTTTGGTATTTCATTGCAATCCAGAAATCAGCTGTCATTAAACTGGGGTGTTAGTCATGTCCACTCTGTCATACACAATGGCCAATGGACATTCTTTCTAAATGCCAGCCTCCTATGTGGTGTCAAGTTTTGCAACAAATGGTCTAGTTTATGTAAAGATAAAAAAACTGAAATAGAAAATAAGCAAGCCTCTGAAAAACTAATGCTGAGACCAGCATGTTGATTGTGGTAAAAGTATGATAGCTGGGAGTCAGTGCTGGTAGTGCTACACTGGTTGTGCAACGCGGGTCTCGCGAGACAGCGCACCGAGTAAGAGACGCAGCTGCGGCAGGATACTAGTGAAGTAATGTAACGCACGTGGGAGAGGATAATAGTGAAGTAATGTAACAGTTACTGGATTTGATTCATTTTTCACCACTGCTCATATTTCTCCCCTCCTTTTTATCCTTCCTTTCTTGAACGTGTTTGTATAGGATCTCCAGATAGCCTACCTTACTATGCTTGCCTGTTTCCTCTCCCCCTTTCTACCGAACTACCTTGTCGACTCTGTCCCAGCTCCGTCTCTCACTGCATCCAGTATCTTGTGCACGGGATGCTGTGTCTCGCACACGTGTTCTCTAATTCAGAGCCGTGTTACGCAACCAGCGTAGCGCTACCAGCACTGGGTCCCAGTTATCATACTTTCACCTTGATAGTTTCTCTTATTCTGTAATAAGAATCATTATTGTCTACACATTTCAGAGGCCAACTTGGTTTGCTACTTGAAAAGAGCTTGTTGTTCTAGCAAAGAAATGTCTATATACACTGCTTAAGCAGATAGTTACATTCTGCTAAGCATATTTTAGTACCTAGTATTATAGTGCTCACTACATTGGCATGGCATGGAAGAGTAAGAAAGCCACACATTTTACATATGCACCTGGCCCTCTTCTGTTGCTGTAAATGCTGTCTTAAATGGCTAAAATGGAAGCATTTGGTGAACATCCAAACAGCAGAGGAGCCAGGGAAAGGATTGTCCGAGTCTTTGCTGGTAAGGGCCACTCAACACAACTGATCTGTGAAAGGCTTACCAAGCAGCAGGTGTGGGATGCCTGTGACTATTCTTGTGTATGGCTCTTGGCATGGTGCATTGTCATATTTTAGACTATCTTCAAAGGAATTAGCAGTTTATTGCAGTGCATTATCAGCAGTATATTCAAATTGTCTTCCCCTCCTTGTTTATGAGCAGCAAAATACTTCTCCATCCAGCATTTAAAATCCATTTTGTAAGACTTTCTTCCTGGTTAGAGATACTGCAGGTGTATACAAAAGATCTCTTGTTGAGTGAAGAAATGCAGTACATTGACTTAAGTATTTTGCCAGCATGAATTTGGGGCTGAATTCAATGGTTAGTTTATGGCAGGGTTTCTCAAACTTCTTGAGCCATGGAAC